GGAGTTAATATTTATTATGAGGAGCCTTTTATCATTTCATGTTTAATATTTTACGGTTTGAATTATAAAATACTTTTTAAAATTTTTTTATGAGCTCTTACCGTTTATATATATTTTTTAAGACCCATGATTGGTTTACACTCCATTGTACCACACTCTTTTTTTTGTTAACTTCTGTTAATTCCCACACTCCGTTAGTTACTATTACACTCTTACAGTGCTAGTTCCCACCCAGATCTGGGTTTTGAAAGAACCTAGGTCGGGTTCTCTAGAAAAAAAAAAAAAAAAAAGGAAGAATGTGGGAACCTGGAGAGGGCTGACAATTGTCTTGCAAATAATTAGCATAAGGATGGAGGTGAGGGGGAAGATGGATCTGGTAAGGACGAAAAGGGTTGGGTGAGTCGAGAGATGGCTGAAGAGGTGGTAATGGAGTTAAGTGTAATTAACGGGAAAATAACAGAAATTGAAGGGTGTAACGGAATATGGTGCGGTGAAGTGTGCATACATCATTATCCATTTTTTAAACATGACTGGAAATTTGAGAACACAAATTTACATGCCTAGTTATTAGATAAAATTACAAAATTGGAGAAGTGGGATTCCATTATACTTATATATTTTTATTATTAAAATAAACTTTAAAAAATTGCTACAGTAATGATAATGAGCCATTGTATAAAAGACAAGAGCAGGTTAATTAGAGTCTTATATTATATATATATATATATATAACTTGTATTCTATTAAGTCCCTATTTTATTTCTGTGTATTTGTTTATGGATAAAGATACGTACACCCACCGGTTCAACACCGATGGGTACACATATTATAAAATAATGGTTTTTTTGTATAAACCAAATAAATGTAAGAATAAAATTACAAATTTAACCTTCCTCCTCTTTTTCTTCCATCATCCTCTAATCACCATTTTTACTCATCATCTCTGATCTTCATCATCCTCCACCTTCATCACCGATCATTCTTCTTCATCATCAATCACCCATCTCTAATCTTCATCACCTTCATCACCGATCATTCTTCTTCTTTCCCTCACCTCTTTCTTTCTTTTTCTTTTTTTTTTTTTCTCTCTCTCGGTGGAGAACCCAGGTC